TCCTTGTAGGATAAAGAGCTTCTGTCCAGCTATAATGACACTAGAGTCTAGTGAATCTGAAACAATACAGATACATCATATCTAATACCAGTATAGTACACACACAATCATTCACATGTGTACATGTACATGAATAATTTACCCATTGAAGGGATCAGGTAATTAAATTGTAGTCCAATGGAACTAGTCTCTTTGATAGGTTGCTTGAGGACCCTCTCTTGTCTTTCTTTCACTAGTTTGGCTATGTACAACTCCTTTTCTTTAAGGTCTATAAATTAATAGAATATTAATAATTATTATTGATTGATGATGATACACTAACCAGTAATGATCTGTTTCTCATTCTGTGATTGTTCCTCTACTTGTGATGTCAGTTTGGCTATAACTTTGTCTTTCTCCAAAATAAGATTTTGATTGTCGTCTACACAATAAACATATTCTCTCATCTAATACATGCTGTGTGTATAGTTAACTAACCAATAATGATCTGTTTCTCCTTGAGATATTGTTCCTCTTTCTCCTCCAATAGTTCAGCTACTTTGATTTTAAGTTTCTCATAATCTTCTAAATTAATATTCTGTCATATAATATTATGTACTGATGATACACTAACCAGTAATAATCTGTTTCTTCTCCTCTACTTGTGTCTTCTCTTCCAATATTTCAGCAATTTTAACTTCAAGCTTCTCATGATAATCTATTATTAATAAAAATACAAAAGATATAATAAAAATGATATTTGTTGCTTAATGAAGGGTTGTGTGATGATGCTACAGAGCCTGGAGTTGTTTCTAGCTCTGTTAATGATCATAACCCAGAGTTATGTGATGTCACAGAGTGTGTAGTTGCTTCTGCTGCTGATGACACAGACCCTTTTGTTCTTTTTGATCCCCCAGAATGCAATGATTGGCCTGTGTGGGATCATAAACCGCCAGAGTTGTGTGACGTCATGCAGTTTGAAGTAGCTACTACTCCTGAAAATACAACTGTTAGAGATAAACAGTTAAAGGAAAAAAAGGAGCGGTCAAAGCAAAAGTACTATGAAAATTATGAAGAAAGCCTAGCCAAATCCAAAAAGTATTGTGAAAAGAAATATCATGCCTCTCACCGTCAAAATAGATTAGAATGCTTTAAAGATAATTATATTGCTAATCATGAAGAGAGATTAGAAGGTTTTAAAAACAATTATGCCGCTAATTTAGAAGAAAGAAAGAAAACCATGCATGAGTATTATGCCTCTCACAGTCAGCAAATACGAGACAATGCCAGAGAGCATTATGCTGCTGTGGCTGACAAAAAATGCCAAGCTGAGACAAAAATATAGAATAAAACATAATTTAAATCCACCTACAAGAAGTGTATCAGCTAAAAAGAGATCTAAAATCATAGCAAGAATACTGCAAAAGAGACAAAAGAACAGTGCATATTATAAGAAAATTTATTTTTTAATTAAGGCAAAACACAGAAGAGCTAGATACAATTTAGCCAAACCAAAATTGATCTAAAAAAAACAGATACATAACAATAATTAGACAAAAACTTGCTGAAAATAAAGGGGTACAAAAGCAATTGAAAGTAGCTTTTAATATTGATAAGTCTTTGCCGATTGCTGTCATGCAGTCGGGTATTAATTTAATTCCAGTTAGGAGGGAATGCTGCTCGGGGTAATTA